GAGAAGACACGTCGGAGAAGTCTCCAGGTTGTTTTTGCATCGGCTGGAGAAGGTAACGAAAAGTTTTTGAAAAATCCGAAATCCAAGAAGAAAAGAGTATCTTGAATTAAGGACATCCGAAGGGTTATAGTGGAATATTGACCGACTTTCACCTACAATCAGTCCCCACAATCCAGAACGATATCATCCGACCACCACCACCTCGATCATCAACTATTGGGTACCCATTCTTTTTCGGCACTATATTTCTACCTATCCTATTATCTATCCTTTTCTCTCTTTCCTTTATTAGAATAATTATTATTTAAGTTATTGATAAGTATTTCTTTGTACCGCGATATTTTTTAGTTCTGCCTGTGGATTCAAAAAAGTTTTTATTTGTGAACAAAAGGGAACTAGGAGTGTCGGAATCCAGAAGATTCTGTCAAGTGTTAATATATGAGTAGAATAAAAGAACATTTTGTTATTCTAATATATGCATCTCTTTATTAAATAAACCTCACTACGTGCATATGACCACACTGATACATCATTCCATTGCTATCAGTGCAACATGCAGAGGATGCTGCACAGTAATTTCAGTGATGCAACACAATGTTAAATTTACAGCATGATTCTTCCTTCAGCACATTTTAGGGACTGAATGTGCTAAAGCAAGGATGATTATAAACTCCATGCAGAAAAACAGTAAGGCACTGTTTTCCTGCATGGAGTTTATAATCATCATAATGTGCACCACTGGACAGTATATGCTCCACAATTCATATGACATATCATATGTGACATTGTGTTTACCATAAATGTCTAGTGTGTAATTTGAGGTGAGCAGCTTTTTGGTTCTATATTCATTGACTGCACCCTGAATAGTGACTGATATCTGAACATCCTAAACATTATGGTGGATGAATGGTTTAATTACTTGCCATTGGTACAACTAGACAGATTTTTAGTACCAATACAATAGCATGCCATCTCACTCCTGGACAGCCATGCACTAGTGGCTTGCAGAACAGAGTTGTTTTTTGGTCACCATATTCCCCAGACTTGATTCCTCTGGACTTTTTCCTGTGGGGTCATCTAAAAGTATCAGTGTATGATACATACCCAACAGCATTGCATGATGTTGGATAACTGGAGAGATGCATATGAGAGGCCTGTGAAATGGTGGCACCATGAATGTTATGTACCATTCATAATACCACACTTGACCATCTATATCTTTGTATTACCTAGGAAAAGGGTTGTTTTGAACATGTTTTCTAACAAAATAAAGCTTACGTTTTATATTAATTTCTGCAATATTGTCTTTATCCTTTACACAGTCAGAAATTATTTGTATGCTAAATCATCTGAAATTGATTTCCTTTGGTTATTTTAGTGCTGAAATAAGCACACATCACATGCATAGACTCATGCAATATTAAAAAGATCTCTTTTGTTCCTGGATGGATGTTTAAGTCAGTGGTTTACAACTGGGATGCTGTGGCACACTAGGATGCCATATTTCAAAGGTGACAAAATATAGTACTGAGCAGCACAATAACACTTGTTATATGTATTACTAAAAATATGAAAAGCACAATAACTCTACATTGATAACGTAGAGGTTCCACAAGAAAAAATTACTAAATTGAAAGTGTTACTTTTAAAAAAAGGTTGAAAAACACTGGTTTAAATGGACACCCTGTATAATAAATTTATAACTTAAAACTTAAAAAAAGAGTTTAAATTTTTGTCATCAAAAGAATGTTTACATCTAAAGCAGAAGAAAACTAGATTCAGTTATTTTCAAATAATTTATAAATTACAAATGCTAAATATTATATGATAAAATTATATTTTATATCAATCTTTAGTAAATTCAACTTTTATATAATTATTATGTTAAGTTATTGATGTTTCAAATCATCATCATCAAAATATCTTTTCTCATGTTAAAATGTCACAGGTAATTTTTGAAAAAGTAAATTTAAAAATTTTTATTTTACTTCACAAAATATCCAATTTTTTCTATTTTACTAAAAATTCAATTCAATATGCTTCTCTTGAGACAAAATGTTTTACAAATCAGCTTATAAAATTAAGTTGAATTGTATTTATATTTCAAAAGCAGGATATATGGGAGGATTGCAAAAGATTTAAACATACTCATAGCATACAAAAGGAAACCTAATGTTTTCCATCTTCTGTCTAACACAAAGGATGACACTGAGGACAAAAGAACACCAGGTGTTTACCACATCCTACTACAGAATGATAGATTCAACAGAATACTAATGTATATAGGATCAACATACAGATCACTGCAAGCCAGGTTAAGAGATCACAAATGTGTGCAAAAAGGACACATAATACAGCTCTGGCGCATTATGCCAGCAATCTGGGGATTTCTCCCTATTTTGGCAATTTCTATTTGAATTTATGTTAAAACAAGTTAATGAATATGATCTTAATATTTCTTTGGATTTCTTTCCTGTAATATTACCCTATTAATAACATATATCAGTGTTAAAAGATTAATCAATTATTATCAATTAAAATTATTCTAGTTTATCTACTGTATGTATATTTATTTTTATAAAAACAAAACTTACTGCAATCATTAATCCTAGTTGGTGGATTAGGTGCTCCACCCACACAAGTATCTGGTTTAGGTACTGATACTCTCCATCTTCCACCATATTGATCACATTCAGTAAAATCATAATGGAAATCTTTCTGTAATTAAAAACAATGTAATTGTTTTTCTTTACTAATTATCTTATTGTATTATAAAACACACAGTAGATTCTATTATGGTTATTACAACAAACATAATTAAAATTAGACATTACTACAGACAATATTAATGATTTTACAAAGTGATAAAAAGAAAATCAAAAAGATAATCTTCTAAATCCCAAGTACTGAAATACAGTACTATTGAGCCACAAACTAAAGATAAATATTAAAGACTATTTGGGGGTTCAAAAATAAAAAGGTCCCAAGTGACACTCTCACCTAAATTCAAATTACTGTGCATTGCTTATGAATGTCTGCATTGCCTCCATATGTGGACACTCATAAGCCATTTGTGACACGATCATGCCATCTCTGGCACAATCCTGTCACATTACATTACATTAAACGAGTAGAGACGTTGTCTGTATGTGCACAGACTTTACCTTTAAGAAATTAGAAGTGACAAAATTGAAATTAGAAGAGGAAGTGATAGTAAGTAGGAAGGAAAAGAAAATAGTGAAAGATTGAAGAGAAGTGTTGGATCATTGAACATCTGCATCATAATTGTTGAACAAGTAAAAATACAGTTACAAGACAAAATATGTACAGTGAAACAGTATAAAAACAAACATGACAAGTCTGCATGTGTGGGCGAGCGTGTACAGCAAAGGGGGTATCAGACACAATGTTTTAACAATTACAAAGTATGTGATTTATGACTGCTTTACATATATAATTTATACAAATACAGTACTGACACTTGATAAAGGAGTGGAGTATTATTATATAAAGTTAGATATAGAACAAAACATGAATATTAGTTATTGATATGGCTAAGTCGCATATTTACAAGGATAGTGCTGTAGATTGGGTTGACAAAGAGATAATATATTACAAAATTTAGCATTAAAAACATTGAAGAATCTAGTAGATATAAACCCAGTGGGTCTAATTTGCATATGCACAGTACAGTCAAATCGCAGGTTGAACAAATTGGGCGAGTAGCCGGCCTACCTTAACCTGTTAACGAAAATATAAACTATGTATTCTCCTTTTACAAATAAACAGTTATTTAGTTGTTAACTTATTGTCCGAGTGAGTCACTTCCAACTCACTGTCTCTCTGTCTTCATCCAGAACCCAAGTGCTCGCATGATCTACTTTTAAAAATAGACCAACTCGCCATTGTGGCTTCTATGTCGAATGAGACACATTGGTCTCAGTCCTGATGAGGCATCAAAGAGGTGCCAACCCTCTGGTCACACCTATATCTCCACACCCTGCCTGCTGTCATCAACCTAACCTAATTGGTTTAATGCTATGCATTACAATTCAAAGTCACAATTGTAACAGGTAAAGCTGAGACTGGTTTTCATGTCTCCTCTAAAATTCAGCTTTTGATGCTTGGGACCTTTTAATTGTTGCACACCTCATTTATCTTTAGTCTGTGATTGGACCTCTCAGCCCATCATCAGGGGGTACAAAAAATGTTGTAAAATAAATGTGATTATATAATTTACATTCCCTAAGAAAGTAGAAAATGTAGATGTCAAGATCTTTGAAGAAATACAATATATAGATAGGCCTACGTGTATTTAAAAAGAAAATTTCAGCTGATGAATTTTTTATTAAAATAAATAATAACATAAACTTAGATTTGTAATTAATTTACATTAATATAAGGTGACCAATTGTCGTCCTTTAGGGAAGACCGTCCTTCTTTTGTAAGGTCTGTCTTCCCTCGAAAAGTGTCCTCTTTTTCGATATTTGAAGAAATTCTAAGAAGTAAGAAGTAAAAAAATACCTGTAGATACTATATCCAAATAAAAAAATACTATATCCAAAACCTGTAGATAGTTTTGAGTTAAAGCAACTTAATGTTAATACAGTTCAACTTATTATATATATAGTAAAACCTTAGTAATAAACTATTTAAAGAATGACATATTGTTGCTTGTTGTTGTAACCTTCCTTGTCACAATATAACATATGAGGGCATACGAACAAAGACAAGTAAGTATGAACTTACTTGTCTTTGTCTAAGTTAAGTTTGGTCATCGTCATCACCCTAGTTGAATGTATTATGATTGAATAAAGACAATTGTTAATTAAGCAGTAGTTTTATATCAAAAAGTGCTCAATACTAAACTTGTGAATATAAATATACATGAATTATATTCATATTATTATTATACATTAGAGTTATATAAATTTATATAATCTTAAGACAATGTAAATCAAGTTTTGAATTTATTTTAAAGCATGGAAATTTTAATTGAAAATTGAAACATTAATTTAAAAACTTACTGTCATTATTTTCCATTCGCCTTCTTCTGTTGATGGTGGCCATTTATATTTCTTTGCTTCAGCTACAGTTTGACATTGATCATTTTGTACCTAATTAGTAATTTTAATTATAAAATTTACTATTGTATTGATATAATAATTATAAAATTTAAAAATTATTTTTAATATGAAAATATTGCATATAATATTCTTTAGATCACAGGAATGTGATTTTTATTAGAAACAACTGAATGATTTGCCTCAGCAATTAATCATTTTATTACCATTAATTTCATGCTTAATTTCACCAATTTTTTTGACATGAATATAACAGTTTATATTTGTTCAAAAAACATTAAAATATTTACAATAAATGTGATTACAATAAGTGAAGTCTATTGTGTAAGGAGACTCCACTTATTGTAATCATAGATATCAGTTGTTTAATGTTATCAAAATTAACATGCTAATATTAGCACAATCATTAGAATTAGTAAAATATAAGTTAAAATGCTTTTACAAAACTTCACCTATTGTAATCAGAGTTTTATTATTATTATTAATATTCTTACCTAAACATTATATATTTTAAGCTAATTCTTGCTTTATCATGTCTCAACATGCAAATGATAACAATCATTATCAGAATTAACTTTAGTGCTTTAAGCATTAACCATTTATTGTTTTTATTTGCTTCCAGACCAGTTAAATTTCTGGCATTTCTTACTTTAATTATATGTTGTCATGTCGTGTCTTACCACGACATGTTAAGGGCGCATCAAGCGCAGCGCCTGAGGGCGAGACGCCCGCTATATAAACTCTGTAACAGAAGGCAGTGCGGCTTTTTCTTGGGTCATTGCTAAGCCCTGTTCTGTAGATACATGATATATGTAAAATAAATGTGTAATGTTCTAAGTATCGTGTCCATTCACTTCTCAGGCACTCCTAATGTAAGATTCACGGGGATTTTACATATGTTGAATGACTTGTCATGAAAATCATTCAATATGTTCAATATAATTTTCATTCTGGTAATAATAATTGCAGTCCTGTTTAATTTTACTAGACTCAAAATACATGAAGATTATGAAAATTCACTGATGCTAGAATATTTCATCTTTATATATTATCTAGACAGGAAATATAACGATTAGCATTAAAATATACTATAATTTTCTGAACATTTAAATATATTATTATATTATATTAAATTTTGTCAATAATGAGAAATTAATTTAAATTCTTTTCAATGTTTAAAATACCTTTATGTTGGCATTATGACATTAAAAGAAAAATTGTTATATGTACAAAAGAGCGTGAAAATAAAGCTATCAAACAATACAAATGCTATTCCATAGCATTTAATTGCTTTTCTAACTCATTACTTAACAAAATTTAATAAAATTGATTATTTAAAAATGTTTCCCTCCACATAAAATATCTTAAATTTCAAAGTCATGAAAGTAAGGAAATATGAAAATAATTTTCTAAACTTTTTAAGAATTTGTAAGAAAACTAAAAGGTGTAAAAATTTTCACTATATTGTTTACAAAATGCATATTTTAATATTTGTAATTTCTTAGCCTAAGTAACAGGATGCCCACCCTTAATAAGATTCGAAATTTTTATTTTTATATAATTCATAATGATATATTTTATGTTTAACTTTTACCACAATTTTGTGAATCAACTCAGCCAAAACAAAACACTTTCACTTACAGCATAGAGGTTTTTAAGCAAACTGCTGGTTTTTGGCCTTATTTAAAGTTTTTTTCCAGGCTACAATTTAAAAATAATTACATTTTTTTTAATACATTTTAATTTAATTTAATACATTTAAAAAATGGAATGTTCCTACTAGAGTATATTCAAAAGTAGAACATTCCAAAAAGAATTAAATAATTTAAATATTACATTCTAATCATAAATTCAGCCAATCAGTGAAAATATATAGGTACAAAAATTTACACAATAAATAATAACAATAAAATAAAATAAACTTTAACACAGAAGGTGTGAACCAACACCCCATTGTTCATTCAGACATTCCAGATATGTAAATCAAACTGAATCTAATGTTCCAGTTTAGTTTACATATATTTTATAAATCAATTTTACACGTGTCAATTTTGAACAAAACTAAAATAAAACATTTTCTTACCTCAAAATTGAAGATAACAGAGTCATCTGTAAACTGATAAACATAAATTACAGCTCCAGGTTTTACAAGCTTAACTGAATAGGATAATGTTGCTGCACATAAACCTCCATAGGAAGCAATATAAGATCCTTTTGGTTTCCAGCCATATCTATAGATTAAATTTAATAAAGTATACTATTTCTCATTAATTCTATTGTTTAATATTATATTTCTTATATTCTTTCTTATACAATTACAATCATTTATCTATTGAAATATATTATTAATTTATTAACTTGAAATTTTGATTTTACTTCAAATCAAAATAAAACTTTACTAGAACTGTAGTTGTTTCCTCCTCTTTAAATAAAAATAATAAACAAACAAACTATAAAACTATGAAATATAGAAAATAAATAATATTGATAAAATTTTAAAGAATATATTCCCTAAAAATTTATTCTGTTGGAATTAGTCATACATTTATTTATATAAAGATTAAAGTCCTGTATACGTGCATAATTGGTAGATTCTCAAAAGAAAAAATCAATTATCTTCATTCTATAATTCCTGACAATTTGCAAGCAACAACAAAATTCTTTAAACAAGTAAATAATATGTTATAGGCTGTAACAAGTGTAAATAATAAATTTCTGCATTTTTACATCATTACTCTTATTTATTAACATTTATCAAAAATCTATCTTTTTATTAAAAAAATATTGAATAGTGAACCAAAAATGCAGATAAAATCATCTAAGTTATAATTTGATATTAAAGGAACAAATCATACATCTCATAACATGGTGTAATTGTCAAGCAGTTAAAATGCATGCACAATAAAAAATGAATACTAATTGCAGTTTTAAAAACATTTATTTCTGAAACATTAATAATAAGATATCTACTTATATTAGATTTTTGATTACACAGCTACTTTTTACATGTATTAAATAGGATATTTTTCTGATAAAAACTATTTATCTCAATAGTGATATCTTTTTGAAAAAATGTTTAACTTTAAAAATTTCATTATATTTTATTCTTATAGCATACTAACTTTACTTTTCTATTTATTTAATGATTTAATCCAGTTTAAATGGTTAATTTCACTCACTCTGAACAATTTGCATTGTTTCTTCCTGATTTTCCTCTAAAAAATCGAAAATTACTCTCAAATGATTCTAGAGAGACGTAAAATCCTGTTGGCAACTTGTCCCAAGAATCAAATTTGATCCCTCCTCCTAGAGAATATGTTCCTGGTGGGCAATGCAAACATTCCAAACTTGTTCTATTATAATAATTTCCAGCATCACATGATGTAGCTTTAGGGAAAAAAAGGGGTTTTCTTAATTAATAAAGACTGAATAACAAAATTTATAAATGTTAAGTTTAATATATATAATGCTGTACAGATTTTAAAACTATTATAAATTATAAAATATCTGGGAAATAATTNAGTATCAAAAACGTAAAATATTTGAGTAGCCCAAGACATAGCCAAAGATTGAAGCGCCACAGCACTGGCAAAAATTTAAATTTGCCGACTGGAATTCTTTCGGATGATTGACGTTTCGGATGATTGACTTTCGGAAAATCAACGCTCTACTGTATTGAATACAGCATTTTTATTTTTGAAAATGTAAAGGAAAGTAATTATTATTAATAATAAACTAAAAAATTAGCTTTCATATGCACTTTAAAAAATTTTACAAACTTAAGTCTAACTTTTTATACTTATATAACTTTTTACTTACGTGCATACTGAGTAGCATTGTTGCAAGCAATGCATGAAGAAGCACCCTTTCCAGAATAAGTATTTTCTGCACATGGGGTACAAAGCTTTGAACCTTCACTACTGTATGTTCCAGGCTCACATGGAGAACATTCAGATGTATATGCTACACCTGTATTTAAATTTTAAAATAATTAAAATAACATGTCATTTTACAAATATAACCAAGATTTATGAAATGCCATATTTAATCACATAATCCATGCTCTTAGTAATCTGTATATCCCATTTTTTAAGATACTGACTTAAAAAAAGAAAAACTAGTTCAATTTAATTTACTACATGTTTACAAATTTTACAAATTGGTGGTTTTAACACAATAGTAATCTTCCCTCTCATTGTTTTGTAGCATTCAATATGGTAGCATTCAGTTTACAAGTATAAGTAGTATTAAAAAATAAAACTACCAAAAAAAAATAATAATAATAATAATAATAATAATAAAGTATTTGTATATCTAATAAAGATAAATACTGCACTCCAAGAACCTATAACCGTTGGAGTGCAGTATTTTACAGATCCCAGTGTTTTGCAGTGTAGTGTAATAAAGATAAATTATCTGCAATTTGTAGTAATGTATTTATAATGAATTAACTTACTATTTAGTAATGAAAGTAACACTATGCTGTTTAATTCAAATCAAACGAGAAAAACTGTTAATAGACCAATAACTTAAACTAAGAAGTAATAAAGACAAAGATTATTTACTGTCAGTCTCAGTTGTATATTTAACTTACTTTATTGATCTTTATTTTCACAAAATTAGTCACACAAAAATGTTTAATAATATTGCTCATAACTATCAACTATAGGTAGTCATTTTATTAAGCAGTCATCTGGACTTTGCAGGTTGCACTACCAAATTTGTTTTAAATAAACTGTGCACTACAACTTTTTGTCACAAATTTTTGAAAAAAACATGCATGGATTATTCAAGTAAACATGGTAATTCAAATTAAAATTTATAAACTCAAATTTGACAGATCAAATAGCTAATATACATGCAAATTTCAATAGAAATAACAATAGAATAACTTTCTACACAATTCTTAGTAGTTAGTTTAAAGAAGAAATCAGTAAAAGTAATAAATTTTATTCTTATATATTTCCATGTCTTTGTGTCAGAAAATATTAATTCAATTAAATATCTGACAGAATAATTTTTATAATTTCAAATATTTTTGAATTTAAAACGTATTTTATTATTTTGAATATATAATGGAACAAATAAGATATTGTCCATAACTTTCTTAATCTTCTGTCTGAAAAATAAAATTTCTGTGTTTTACTTATAAGGCTACAATACTATATCCATTTAAAAATTCTTAATATTTCTTATTAAAAATTTCATTTTATATGTAAATTTATTATTATTTTTTTATTATTATACTTCTTATTTTAATTTACTTTTGTTTTAAAACTTTTCACTGAAAAATCAGTTTGAGATGAATTAGTTGCTACAGTTGTTTAATTAATTGTCACAGATAAAATACTAATTTATTAACTAAGAAAACTGGCCAAATAAAATTAATTAAATTAAAAAAAAATAAACATAAAACACAAAATGAAGAATATTGTTCTTTTAAAGTTGTAGAACAGAATTGTTCCACAAGCATATTTTTTCCATAACAGCCAATTGTCAAGTGGTTAAAATGTCATCTTACCATTATGGGGATCTGGGAATGAATTTGGTTGGATCAAAAACCCCAAGAATTCTTCAGAGTGGTAAAAAAGTTTTTCAATCAGTTATTTTTTTTTTTTAAGTTTATGNCTATATGTTAATTTAAGAATTTAACTTTACTCCAACTAAAAGCTTGTCTGCTGATAGGAGAGTTTGGAGAATAGTAGTGGATGGTAGTATAAAAGTTTGATTTTTCATCATGTTGATTTCTGGGTATCAGCAGGAATGGATGATGATGTTAATTTAAAATATTTTTATAATTAAATCTGATATCTTTATAAAACACAATATTATTCTTATTAAAAAATGTTTTTCTACGAATATTTTAATCTTAATATTCTTAATATCTTAATAATTTATTAATATTTTTAATAAGCCATTTCATTACTATTTTATAAAACTATCACTCTAATATATTTATACTAGAGTTACTCCACACTACTCTTATGTAACATTACTATAAGTTAGAACATGTTATTACAACAAATATTGTTATTTATTAGTTTATCTCTGGAATGATTTTCACTTAAAAATAAATAAAACATACTATATTTCATATCTATTTAGGGAATAAAACTTTTTCTGATCTCTCATATAAAATACTTTATTTCTAAAATCTCAGTCTAATAACAAACATAATTGCAACGTAATCTTTGTAAACTGTAATAATGTTATTCATCATAAAATATTGTATACAAGTTGTCCACTTAAACATTATCTAGAGGTAAAAGAGATTTCCAGCATTAGTTGGGATAGGTTGGGTTAGAGTGTGGACTGTAGTGGACTCAAATACACTGAATATTACATTGCTGTTGTGGTGGTACACCAGTATATTTTTTATTTTGTTCATATATGTTTTATATATGTTTATATATTTTCCCTTCCTTCCTTCTTTGTTCTTTTGTATATAACTTCCTGGAACTTTCTTCCAAGTGTGGGTGGTGGGTGACCTGGTTAGGGGACAAAAGAAAGGTATAGCCCAGAGGGCAAAAGGAGAGACACTTAAGGTCACTTTTAACTGGAACATGGAAGAGAGAAGACACGTCGGAGAAGTCTCCAGGTTGTTTTTGCATCGGCTGGAGAAGGTAATGAAAAGTTTTTGAAAAATCCGAAATCCAAGAAGAAAGGAGTATCTTGAATTAAGGACATCCGAAGGGTTATAGTGGAATATTGACCGACTTTCACCTACAATCAGTCCCCACAATCCAGAACGATATCATCCGACCACCACCACCTCGATCATCAACTATTGGGTACCCATTCTTTTTCGGCACTATATTTCTACCTATCCTATTATCTATCCTTTTCTCTCTTTCCTTTATTAGAATAATTATTATTTAAGTTATTGATAAGTATTTCTTTGTACCGCGATATTTTTTAGTTCTGCCTGTGGATTCAAAAAAGTTTTTATTTGTGAACAAAAGGGAACTAGGAGTGTCGGAATCCAGAAGATTCTGTCAAGTGTTAATATATGAGTAGAATAAAAGAACATTTTGTTATTCTAATATATGCATCTCTTTATTAAATAAACCTCACTACGTGCATATGACCACACTGTGATACATCATTCCATTGCTATCAGTGCAACATGCAGAGGATGCTGCACAGTAATTTCAGTGATGCAACACAATGTTAAATTTACAGCATGATTCTTCCTTCAGCACATTTTAGGGACTGAATGTGCTAAAGCAAGGATGATTATAAACTCCATGCAGAAAAACAGTAAGGCACTGTTTTCCTGCATGGAGTTTATAATCATCATAATGTGCACCACTGGACAGTATATGCTCCACAATTCATATGACATATCATATGTGACATTGTGTTTACCATAAATGTCTAGTGTGTAATTTGAGGTGAGCAGCTTTTTGGTTCTGTATTCATTGACTGCACCCTGAATAGTGACTGATATCTGAACATCCTAAACATTATGGTGGATGAATGGTTTAATTACTTGCCATTGGTACAACTAGACAGATTTTTAGTACCAATACAATAGCATGCCATCTCACTCCTGGACAGCCATGCACTAGTGGCTTGCAGAACAGAGTTGTTTTTTGGTCACCATATTCCCCAGACTTGATTCCTCTGGACTTTTTCCTGTGGGGTCATCTAAAAGTATCAGTGTATGATACATACCCAACAGCATTGCATGATGTTGGATAACTGGAGAGATGCATATGAGAGGCCTGTGAAATGGTGGCACCATGAATGTTATGTACCATTCATAATACCACACTTGACCATCTATATCTTTGTATTACCTAGGAAAAGGGTTGTTTTGAACATGTTTTCTAACAAAATAAAGCTTACGTTTTATATTAATTTCTGCAATATTGTCTTTATCCTTTACACAGTCAGAAATTATTTGTATGCTAAATCATCTGAAATTGATTTCCTTTGGTTATTTTAGTGCTGAAATAAGCACACATCACATGCATAGACTCATGCAATATTAAAAAGATCTCTTTTGTTCCTGGATGGATGTTTAAGTCAGTGGTTTACAACTGGGATGCTGTGGCACACTAGGATGCCATATTTCAAAGGTGACAAAATATAGTACTGAGCAGCACAATAACACTTGTTATATGTATTACTAAAAATATGAAAAGCACAATAACTCTACATTGATAACGTAGAGGTTCCACAAGAAAAAATTACTAAATTGAAAGTGTTACTTTTAAAAAAAGGTTGAAAAACACTGGTTTAAATGGACACCCTGTATAATAAATTTATAACTTAAAACTTAAAAAAAGAGTTTAAATTTTTGTCATCAAAAGAATGTTTACATCTAAAGCAGAAGAAAACTAGATTCAGTTATTTTCAAATAATTTATAAATTACAAATGCTAAATATTATATGATAAAATTATATTTTATATTAATCTTTAGTAAATTCAACTTTTATATAATTATTATGTTAAGTTATTGATGTTTCAAATCATCATCATCAAAATATCTTTTCTCATGTTAAAATGTCACAGGTAATTTTTGAAAAAGTAAATTTAAAAATTTTTATTTTACTTCACAAAATATCCAATTTTTTCTATTTTACTAAAAATTCAATTCAATATGCTTCTCTTGAGACAAAATGTTTTACAAATCAGCTTATAAAATTAGGTTGAATTGTATTTATATTTCAAAAGCAGGATATATGGGAGGATTGCAAAAGATTTAAACATACTCATAGCATACAAAAGGAAACCTAATGTTTTCCATCTTCTGTCTAACACAAAGGATGACACTGAGGACAAAAGAACACCAGGTGTTTACCACATCCTACTACAGAATGATAGATTCAACAGAATACTAATGTATATAGGATCAACATACAGATCACTGCAAGCCAGGTTAAGAGATCACAAATGTGTGCAAAAAGGACACATAATACAGCTCTGGCGCATTATGCCAGCAATCTGGGGATTTCTCCCTATTTTGGCAATTTCTATTTGAATTTATGTTAAAACAAGTTAATGAATATGATCTTAATATTTCTTTGGATTTCTTTCCTGTAATATTACCCTATTAATAACATATATCAGTGTTAAAAGATTAATCAATTATTATCAATTAAAATTATTCTAGTTTATCTACTGTATGTATATTTATTTTTATAAAAACAAAACTTACTGCAATCATTAATCCTAGTTGGTGGATTAGGTGCTCCACCCACACAAGTATCTGGTTTAGGTACTGATACTCTCCATCTTCCACCATATTGATCACATTCAGTAAAATCATAATGGAAATCTTTCTGTAATTAAAAACAATGTAATTGTTTTTCTTTACTAATTATCTTATTGTATTATAAAACACACAGTAGATTCTATTATGGTTATTACAACAAACATAATTAAAATTAGACATTACTACAGACAATATTAATGATTTTACAAAGTGATAAAAAGAAAATCAAAAAGATAATCTTCTAAATCCCAAGTACTGAAATACAGTACTATTGAGCCACAAACTAAAGATAAATATTAAAGACTATTTGGGGGTTCAAAAATAAAAAGGTCCCAAGTGACACTCTCACCTAAATTCAAATTACTGTGCATTGCTTATGAATGTCTGCATTGCCTCCATATGTGGACACTCATAAGCCATTTGTGACACGATCATGCCATCTCTGGCACAATCCTGTCACATTACATTACATTAAACGAGTAGAGACGTTGTCTGTATGTGCACAGACTTTACCTTTAAGAAATTAGAAGTGACAAAATTGAAATTAGAAGAGGAAGTGATAGTAAGTAGGAAGGAAAAGAAAATAGTGAAAGATTGAAGAGAAGTGTTGGATCATTGAACATCTGCATCATAATTGTTGAACAAGTAAAAATACAGTTACAAGACAAAATATGTACAGTGAAACAGTATAAAAACAAACATGACAAGTCTGCATGTGTGGGCGAGCGTGTACAGCAAAGGGGGTATCAGACACAATGTTTTAACAATTACAAAGTATGTGATTTATGACTGCTTTACATATATAATTTATACAAATACAGTACTGACACTTGATAAAGGAGTGGAGTATTATTATATAAAGTTAGATATAGAACAAAACATGAATATTAGTTATTGATATGGCTAAGTCGCATATTTACAAGGATAGTGCTGTAGATTGGGTTGACAAAGAGATAATATATTACAAAATTTAGCATTAAAAACATTGAAGAATCTAGTAGATATAAACCCAGTGGGTCTAATTTGCATATGCACAGTACAGTCAAATCGCAGGTTGAACAAATTGGGCGAGTAGCCGGCCTACCTTAACCTGTTAACGAAAATATAAACTATGTATTCTCCTTTTACAAATAAACAGTTATTTAGTTGTTAACTTATTGTCCGAGTGAGTCACTTCCAACTCACTGTCTCTCTGTCTTCATCCAGAACCCAAGTGCTCGCATGATCTACTTTTAAAAATAGACCAACTCGCCATTGTGGCTTCTATGTCGAATGAGACACATTGGTCTCAGTCCTGATGAGGCATCAAAGAGGTGCCAACCCTCTGGTCACACCTATATCTCCACACCCTGCCTGCTGTCATCAACCTAACCTAATTGGTTTAATGCTATGCATTACAATTCAAAGTCACAATTGTAACAGGTAAAGCTGAGACTGGTTTTCATGTCTCCTCTAAAATTCAGCTTTTGATGCTTGGGACCTTTTAATTGTTGCACACCTCATTTATCTTTAGTCTGTGATTGGACCTCTCAGCCCATCATCAGGGGGTACAAAAAATGTTGTAAAATAAATGTGATTATATAATTTACATTCCCTAAGAAAGTAGAAAATGTAGATGTCAAGATCTTTGAAGAAATACAATATATAGATAGGCCTACGTGTATTTAAAAAGAAAATTCAGCTGATGAATTTTTTATTAAAATAAATAATAACATAAACTTAGATTTGTAATTAATTTACATTAATATAAGGTGACCAATTGTCGTCCTTTAGGGAAGACCGTCCTTCTTTTGTAAGGTCTGTCTTCCCTCGAAAAGTGTCCTCTTTTTCGATATTTGAAGACTAATCTGTAAATCTCTGTATTCGATCAAATCAATGCCAAGACAATCCATTGCGTGTGATGTGATGCGACATGTTTGTATTTGACATGACAATTCATCAAGGCTCAGTACAGTGCAGCGAGATGCTATTATGAGACACATGCACTCTGCATGTGAGACCTTGAGAGAGTGTGCCGCATGCAAGTGGCTTTGTTTACTTCTTACCGAAACACGTGATATGGCATATATGCATGCAGTAGAGATTATTATAGTGTATTATTGTTGCATGAATAAAATATTTCTTTTATTTATGATATTTTTTTTCAATTTATTTGTGTCCTCCTTTTCATTGTAAAAAAGTTGGTCACTTTAATTAACATATTAATTAGATTTTTTCAAATACGAAAACAATACATGGTAATTTAATTAAAATAATCTAATAAATCTTTTTTTAAAATTCATACAAGCATAAAAAAGAAAACTGAAAATAGTTTCAAGGAATAAAAAAATATTTAATATACTGTAAAAACGTTTTCTGAATAGATTCATCCCTCTTCAGCTCGCAAACAAAAATCAACCTCGAACATTTACAAATATAAAATCGTGCAACGTTTAAAAGAAAACAAACGAAGTGCCTAGAACAGATTAAATTTAAACACAGGATAATCTCACTTGTCAGAACTACTGTAAAGTATATGTTAACGTTAAATATAAAAAGCAAATAAACATAAAACTAAATCAATTACAATAAAAATAAAAAAATAAATAGGTTATATAAATAACTCCCAAACGAAATCATAGAATACGTTCTTACTTAAATCATTTGTACAGTACAACGAGCTAACAGTAAAAATACCCATATGAACCAAAGAAAGAAAAAGTAAAAACGCCCTAAGAAATCGTCACCCGTTAGAGGCGTCGTTACTCGATTCAAGGCTTCAAGCTCCATACGTAGCGAACCTTTTTGAGCCCGCGTGCCATATAGTAAGCATACTTAACTTTAAAGATGTTTTTGAGTGCCAAAGTTTTAAACTTCGAATAACAATATTTAAATGAATTAAACGAATATGCTTTAATTAGAATAAATGTAAAAAGCTGATTAAAAAAGGATGATTGAAAAAGACAGATGATAAATCGAATTAATATACTTTATGTGTCAGATGATTTCTCCTTACATGACACTTCGGGCACGCGTGCCATAAGTTCGCCACCCCTGCGGTAGAACATGGTAGAGCCCATGTGGCTAAACTTTTCGATTGGCGGGGCAAATTGCAGAAGGGCCAGGCCTGTCAAGGGGAAAGAAATGAAGATTTATTCCCGGGGTGGAAACCTTACGGGCTTACTGTTTTCTGCTTTATAAATGTAGAATACTGAATGCTTTCTGTAGAATATAAAATTTATGACTGCTATTTATTTTTTAAAGAAGTATTCTACATCTCATTTGTCCAGAAAAAAAAAAAGGCAAAGAAGATCCGCTTTACTCTCGTGCTCATTGACTTTCGACGGTCCTGAGACGGCCACAGATATTTTGTATATTCCATAGATAAAACACAAAAGTGGGCTTATTTCCAGTGCCGGCCCGAGGCAAGTTTTAGGATGGAGCGAGATCCTATTACGGTGCCCCCCTTGGTTGCCCCTAATTTATACCCTTTAATTTTCTTTACCACTTAGGTGCTAAGCCTAAGGCTTAGCGCCTGGAGCGGCTGCTCTGTTCGCCCTATGGTAGGGCCGGCTCTGCTTATTTCTATCTTTTATACAGGTGATGCGTCAAATATGTTTGCGGGCGGATTTGGACCGTTGCAATAGAGGAATTAGAAATGGAAACATCAAAGATACCTCCGCTAAACATAAACGAGTTGTTTAACTTTCCCGGCAAGAACATTTAAAACGGCATGTAAATCTATTTGTTACATTTTATTTTAAAAACTTTTTCATATAATTTATTACAGGTTTTTTTTTAACTTTTTCCGGCTTGTGGGCACTAAGAGGGCCTCTTTTTAGCATTATGCGTTCGGCCAGGCCCACAATGGGGTGACCGGGTGGTGAGGGACGAGGCCCGGCATATCAGAACGGACCACCCCCAAAAAATTCCTGGGGATTTTACGACTGGTCCTGATTCGAAACCGGGTCCCCCAGAGCGGTAGACTACCATCTTACCTGCTCGGCCATCCGGCCACTGTTGATTACAGGTATCTCTCGTATGACACTGTAATTATGTTTCGAAAAAGTGCCGTTTTATGCAAATCCGTGCTATACGAAACAAAGAACTAATGCAAAACATGGAGTTAAGTTCCAAAAGTAAACAAAAGTACAGTCGACCCCCTATAACATGGTAGATACGTTCCGTTCTTTATGAAATTAATGTTCTACGAGTCCTTAAATACATGAGCCAATCACAGCCCAACATGTATGCAGTTTACGAACTACGGCTGTTTGAAAGGTTTTCTTCCATAAAATTAATCGATTCTAGACTAATTTGACTCAACGTTTCCAAAATGCGTATAATTTTTTGGGAATAATCCATATAAACTATGCTATAAACAAAAAAATTGTAGGATTACTTACCAAGTGTGCACCGTTCGACGACGCCATTGCTTAAGCTTGTTTTCGTCGTGGAGTGGTGCATTGAATGGCGTTCGCGTGCTTCCTGATAAATTATTTTTCTGCGAAAACTTTGCTGAATTTTGGAGACATCATTAATATAAATATAATTTTTATGGACGTTAAATAATAAATGGTTTTTAGTAGGTCCGCTGCTCGTTTAAACTCAGAGGTTTGTGCAATATCCGCTATTGGTCTAGATTCGACCAATCCTGTCGTGACACGAGTCGGTGATGACGTTTTACTGAATTATACGAGTCTCTTTTAGCGTGTTTATACGAATACGGTCGCAATTTTTTCGCCGTCATATAGTAATCCGAACTATATAAACCCGTTTTATAGGAGGGTCTACTGTATACTATTCTTTTTTGTTACAAAGAGAAATGTGTTTATTAAAACAATCGATAATTCATTTCCAATCAATNCGTTTTTCAACGCGCGTTAAACGCGCGCTTTTAAACGCGCGTTTTAAAGAACCAAGAGTTCTATGTAGCCGTACACACTCAAACGCCAAGCGCGCATTAAACGCGCGTTTATAGATTTTTGTTAAAACGCGCGTTATCCGTGCTATACGAAACAAAGTACTAATGCAAAACATAGGGTTACATTCCAGAAGTTAACAAAAGTATACTATTTTTTCATAATT